AGGACGGTCCGACCCCCCTCCCGAAGCCCCTCCGCGCTGCCGCGGGGTCACGGCAGAGCCCCCCGGGGTTCCCGTGTCCCCCCGCCCGGGCGCTGCAGCCTCCTGCGGGCCGAGGCTGCTCCCGCTGCCCTCCTGGCGTTCCTGCATCTCCCTAATTAGGTCAGAGAATTCCACATCCCGCTCTGCGCTGGCTGCTAATTGCCGTTTTCCCCCCCTTTTCCACCCATCCGAGGGGCGAGGAGCCGGCCCGGCGCCCGCAGCCCCCTCCCCTGGGGATGCCGGAGGGCTCCTAATTAGAGCGGGGTTTGGGTCACAGCTCGCAGGCTGACGCTTTTTCAGTAAAGTGGAGCAAAAGGAGGAGGACTGGGAAGGAGAACGGCTCGGAGCCGTTTGCCCCCCTGCTCTGCTCGGGTGAAAGTTAAAGCTGCCTTCCTTCCACCGCTCTGTTTATTCCTTGCTTGTGGCTTTGCCCCCCAAAGAACAAGGTGGAGAAGTCGGTGCTGTTTCTGTGCCATCTTGTCTGTTTTCTTTGGATAATCGGGAAAAATCTTAAGTAAATCGGGCACAGTATGAAGATATGTATTATTGCAAACTTTTAAAGTGATTTGGAAGAACCTACTATAATCATGGGCTTATATATGGCAACTATAATAAAATGATATATCTGAGGCTTAAAAAGAATCTTTCTGAAGCCTGTCCACATTCTGTGTGCCATTCTAGAAAAAGAAATAGCCAGACTATAGGTAGCATTAATTTCTTTACATCTTCCTGCACTGCAGGTTTTGAGGTACCTAATTTGGATAAATCAGAGAAAATGTTGCCTGTCTCTTAAAAGCAGAGGTAGCAGAGCTGTCATAGCTGTGGTTCTATGTATAAAGCCTCTACCAAGCTCAGCAGCAAAGAGGACAACAATCTAATGGGAAATACTTTCACCAGAAAACTAATGTTGAGAGAGAGGATTTTGCTGGGGCAGCCCTTCAGCAGCTGTCAGTGGAGACACTGAATGTGAGTTCATGTGTGCTGAAGCAGCTGCAGGCATCCTTCAGTAGTACAAACCCACTTTCTCAGTATGCATTAACAAAACATGTTTTCAGAGAACAAAAAAATTGAATTAGTGTCCTGGTACAGAGCTAAAGTGATGGTAATCACATTATCTGTTAAATTTTGCATCCATCTCCTATATCAAGTTAAAGAATTGTGGTTGGTTTTGTCAGGACTTGGAATAAAAGCATTTTATGGGTTTTAGGTTGGGGATTCCTTCTTTCTTGATGGGTTTTTGTTGTTGTTGTTGTTTTTTTAATCTTATTAGGGATATTGAAAAGCTTTCAGAAATGTTCCCGTTGGAAACCTTTTGCTCTGCTTCTGTCTTGCCTGTTGGTGTGGGCCAGTGAAGAGCTGGGAAGTGATGTAGAAATCTGAGACTGGAAAACATGGTGGTTCTGAAACAAGTTCAGAATCCATAAACAGTCTTTGAAAGTGCAGAGTGTTTTCCTGCAAGAATGTTACTACAAAATTCTCTGGTTTTGAGGAAAAGGGAACATTTTTCAGGTTTTTTCATTGAAGCCTTTTGAAGCATCTATGATGGAGTTGCAGGAACACCAGGTGGTGTCTGTGCACCCTGTGCTTGTGTACTCATGACACTCACTCTGCCGTGCTCTGCAGGGTGGGTTTGTGTGGCACACAAACATCTGCACACCCACACAGCCTAACTGTAAAGAGTTTAACCTGTGTAAGGAACATATGGCTGGTTTTACTTCTCTTTTGTTCACTTGCCAGCCAGACCATAGCAGTAATTGGAAGTTTGGTAAGGTACTGTGTACGTAAGCAAGACAGGTTTGTTCTTTGCCTCTTTTCAGAACTAGTCTATGTAAGAAGTAGCAATTCTTTCTCCAGTTTCTAAAGTTTTGTTCAGGCTAAATCTTTGGTCCCAGTAGTTTGGAATTCTAAGACATTTATGTGACACTTGCATTTAAATTATTGCATTCAAACTTGAGCGTGGAACAAGCTATTAGCATCTGGGAGGCAATATATACAGAGTGACCTGATGTCTTGATGGATTTTGAATGCTCTAGAATTTTAGGTTTATATTATTAACTTACTGGCAAATTTAGGAGAGTAAAAAGATTAATCCCAAATGCAACCTGCAGCAAACAGTTGGGTACCTTTATCTCCAACCTGTAAAAATGGTATTAAAAACTAAGGATCACTGATAAAATATCCAGCCTGGATCACAGGGTTCTCTATCAGTTATTTAATTTTGTTTGAAATTAGAAACTGTCTAGCTATTAATTCCAACTCAAGTGTAACTAGTTGTCAGGCTCCTTACTCTTAGACCCAGTGCTGTCCCAGTGGTGCAGTCACAGCTGTGCTCCAGAACATGAGCAGAAGGTCTGTGGGTGAAAGGTTTTTCTTCCAGAGATGCTGGTCAGTCAAAAAGGATGTTGTTTTTCTTTACAAACCTCTCTTGCTTTCATCTTCTTGTGTTGGGCTTTTAGGCCCCAAGTTTAGAACTTGTCTGTGATCTCAAGCTCATCAGGTTGGTGTGGGTGAAGTGACAGATGCCCGTGGCAGCTGTACCAGCCCAGAGCATGGATTGGCATGGAGAGGGAGCTCTCGACTGGTGGGTTGGATTGGAGTGGGTGTGGAGGAGCAGCTGGGAGCTGCTGCAGTTTTCCCTGGGGAGAGCTGTCCCTACAGTGGAAGGGAGATAATTAGTACTTGTGTGTCCCCCTTATGGCTGCATTGATAGAGCTGTTAGGGTGGCAGGATCTCTCTAGCTGTGTGGCAGATACACACGGACCCTAAAGAAGGACCTGTGGGCACCTGGGTGTACATCTTCAAGACAGAAAGCTGCCCAGCAAGGCCTGGTGCACTCCTCTCTCTGGAGAAGTTGGACAAAGATGTTATTATGCTTGGCTTGGCTGAGCCTTTCCTCCTGGCCTTTCTGCAGGTGTTTTATCTCGCCACACACAGGCTGCCAGTGAGCCCCTGAACACCTTGAGCGGGGCATCCCAGCAGGGTTTGCTTTCAGGAATTCGATCAGTGATGGTGGAAGCAGCTCCTGAGACACATCCCTGCCCTTCTGTGAAGCACTGAGAAGTGCTGGTATTGTGCACATCACTTTGAAGCCTCTGGGGTGGGAAATGCCTTTGCCTGCTCCTGGGGAGCCTGGAGAGCCCCAGGCTGTGAGGATGGGATGCAGAGTTGCCTCAGCAGCCCACAGGAAGCGTGGCAGGAGACCATTACAGTCTGTTATCCTGCCAGCTTCCTGTCTGGGTGCTGGGCTATGTCTACATAATGTATGAAATATAATCAAAAGGATTGTTCCACAAAGTGATGTGAAGATGGCAGAGCACAGACTGAACTAACACGCCTGAAGATACTGCTGAGCGTAACATTGCAGCCAGCTTTCCTCTTGGGTGATGGAATCGCTATTTTATATTTATGCTCATTTGGGAGATCTATAAATATATAAAAGGAAAAAAAACATAATCAGGCAGCTGTAGATGAGTTTTACTAATCCACAAATTCATTATTCAAGCATCTAAAAATACCTGGTCCTTGCTGAAAGTAGAGGGTATTACTACAGGAGGAGGAGAGGTGGCTGTTACTGGTGATATCTCATTTACATGGAAAATTGTGGCTGCCTTATGATATGATTACAGCCAAGATTTCCCCCCTCAAAACAAGTGGAATACAGTGTGGTTATTTAGCTTGATGTAAGTAGACAGATCAGAAAATACATACTTGCCCAATGGTAATATTTCTCAATAGCTGAGTTGCTACATCTGGGAGGCTCCGATGTGTCCACATGAGCTTTGCAATGTTACAGTTCTTAAGACTCATCATGTACTTCAAATCAATGATAAGTAAATGTGAATTCAGATGCCCTGTAATGTTTGATAAAGCATGTTAGTGAAGGTGAAAAGTGATAGTCCAACCCCAAAATATTCTCAAGTTAGAAACCACAGTGTGGTTGGTGGTGGGAGGAGAAATTTGCAGTACCACGACTGTCCCCAGAAGGAATCAGCAAATTCTGTTGTGTATGTGTGTTTTTAGGGTCGTTCAATAGAAGAAAAAGAAATTCCCTCTACGTAACTGTGACTCTCCTCATTGTGTCAGTATTAATTCTAACGGTGGGCCTAGCTGCTACAACAAGAACCCAAAATGTGACTGTTGGAGGTTATTACCCAGGGGTTATTGTAAGTATAGAACTCCTAGGTATGTCTAGAAAACTTATTGCCTACAAAGTCCCTTGTAATGCTGCAAATGTTATATAGGGTGATCTTGTTCTGAATATTATGCTCAGCTATTTCATTGCCATTTGATTTATTTGTTTTGTTATTATTTTGCACTTGCTGCTCATTCACACGCAAAATTCCCATGTGAAAATCCCATCCAAGTAGCAGCTTCCTCTGAGCTTAGGTAATAACATGCTTTTGAGCCAATTGTGAGACAGAGAAATAGGTCTGATGTCAGTCAGAGCAACCTTAGGACCTCTTTGTTTGCACACATCACATTAATCCCAGGCAGAAGTGTAAGGCAAAGAAGGACCATTGGTGCCAAGAGCAGTTGAGAGACTAGGTCTTGAAATACTGTTCACATGAACTGGTGCTCATCAAGTGTTTAACGATTCTGAGTTACTGAATGAGGAGAAGCACATTAGCAGTAGCTGTGGCAGCTTGCCAGAGGAGCATGCACATCAAAGTGGCCAGCACATCCATTTCCTCTTGTTTTGCTATCAACAGATGAAAATGGGAAAGCACAATCTTGTAGCTTCAAGTGGCTTAATTTAAAGAAGACCACTGGTGCCCAGCCTTCTTGCCATTAGATGTATAACCTCCAGCAGAACCGTAAGGGGCAGGTACATCATGTCCCTCCTGGCTTGAGCAGAAGTCTTAATGTGAGCTGGAAAGCAAGTCCTGGTTTGTTCCTCTGCCTGTCTGAAACATCAAAAAGAAATACAAAAAGGTCTGAGCTGCAGCCAAATTAGGTTGGGCATGTTGAGTGTGACTGAAGCCCTGCAGCTGGAGGCTCCTTCTCTAACAGCTGCGGAGTGCTGAGTGATTTAGGTTTGGAGCCTCAAAGCTGGAGGCTTAAAACCAGTCCAGATAACAAGGTGGAGACTAGTTCTTGCCTTATTGTTGTTTGATTTGTTTGCCACACATTGCTGATCTCAGGGGGATTTATGCTTCTCTATGGACAAGCTCTTCTATGACTGAAGAGAGCCCCTTTACGGCCATTAGTGTGGAACATTGTTACAGACTGTGTTGGGCCTCTCCCGTTTAGAATAGGTTTTCTTTCTTGACCCAGTAATTCCTGCATTTAGGCCTGATCTTTTTTTAAGGAGAAGTATAGAAGGAAGGTGTTGAGAAAGACGACGTGCTGGCTTCAACTCTCAGCACTTAGCCTACGTGCTGTCAGCCTGAGTGCAAACTTGTGCTTCAGAGCAGGTCCTACAGAGTCCCCGTGACATCCCCCATCCTGTTTGTGCTCCAGGAACATCAGCATCGCTGACACTTCTCTAAGACTTGGTCCACTCAAGGAATTAATGAATTCCTGAGCTTGGGAAGGGTGTTGAGCTTCTTTATTCAGAGGCACCTTGACAACAGCTTGTGTTATCACCAAATTCCTCCTCTCAGTTTATGAATCTGCTGCATGAATATGGCTGATGACCTCGCCTGTCTCCCTGCACAGGAAAACATTTCAGTGTGCTGCTGGGTGCTTCAGCAGATGCTTAAAATAGCTGATGTTTCATAACAAGCTGGGATTTCTCCCTTTACTGTGGAAAAAGGGCTTGCTGTGGTGCATGAGCACTCAGGTGAGTTGTCCTGGGGCAGGTGCCTTCCATAGCCCCAAAGAAGAAGCTACTTGCAGGTCTTGTCAGACAGAACTTCATAGGAGTGTTAGGCCTGTGTGCATCTCCAACAGGGGTTTCTGTGCACTGTTAGTGGTGCATTACCATTAGTCATACTCTTGAGTACCCTGCATTGGTAAGGAAAAGAGAGAGCCAGAAGTCTCTTCATGTGCTGGGTGAGTTCTCCATGTGTGGACCAGATCTAAGGATGGGACTGTCTCATGGAACATCAGTTGTCTCATCACTGGAATGCCTAATGCACCATTCTTTCCTCCTTTAATTTGTTTGTCCTGGGCAAACACCTCTTGTGCAAGGAGGAAGCAAGCAAAGAAGTGTTTTTCTGATGTAGGGGTTATCTTCCCAGGTCTCTACTCCCGAGGATGAACAGAACAGGGCACTGGAGACCTTCCACACATCAGTGGGATTGTGTTTTGTTGGATTTTGGGGGGGGGTTGTTTTGGTTTTCTTACCAAAAAGGTCAGTTCCTCATTGACACAGGAGGAGGAGCTGAAGCAAAGGGTGCAATGGCATGTCCTGTAGCCAGGCTGCCTTCACCCTCCTCCATGACCACAGACACCTTCACAACTACACGTGAACACCCTGGCTGTGCCACTGTGGGAAATATCTTCATCTATGGCTGGGTGTCTGACCTGGGCCTGGGAAGCCCAGAGTGTAACAGTGATGCTCAGCAGACAAGAATAATGACCGGGTGCAGAGGGCAGACACCCTTATGGACATGAGGCTCTGTGAGATAGGAGTGTTTTCTCCAAGTTATACCAGCTTTCAGCATCTGTGCAAGTAACTGACCTTTCTTGGCCCTTGACTGGCAAACTTCTGTGATGGTTCCTTGTCAAGCCTATTGGCCTGGAGATTTACTCTGGAAAAGCACGTTCATTTTGTCTCCTGTCCTCCCGTCAGACAGATATCCCAGGAGATCATATCCACCAGCAAGTGACGCAGTTGATGCAGATTACTCAGATCTCTTTGTCTCATCCATACAAGAATGAGTGGTTTTCCCATTAATGCAGTGAGCATTTACATTAGTGAGAATCCTCCACAGATTTATTTTGTCTTCACCTGTTGGCTGTACAGACTTGCTCTAATTCCTTCTCTTTGAATGATCTTAAATTATCTTGAGTATTTCACCTTTTGGTTTAAGGCTTCTCTGTGACACCACATGGACATTTCTCTTAAATGTGTTGGATCAATCTCAAAGGACACAAAGCATTTTTCTTAAGCATTTACCTTAGGTGTGTGTTGCCACACAACTTCCTTGCTGCTAAACATCACCAGAATGAAAGTAATGCCTGGATCCATGTTGCTGTAAATGCCTGGATCTCCCAGGTTTTGGGCTTGGGACTGAGCTGTAAAACTCCAGTTACCTGGGGAAGGTGGGGGGTTTTTGCTTGCCCAAGATGAGCAAAATAATCAGCCCAGAAGCACTGCCAGATAGCTTTGGAGCAGCTTAGCAGTGCCCCTGGCTCTCTGCCCTGCCTGCTGTCCCAATGTTAAGCAGCACCTGGTTTTGTTGCTGTGCTTCCCACCAGGGTAGTTTGTCCCTGATATGTGGACAACACTCTCCGAGGGCTCAGAGTGCAGGGCAGGCAGCTGGGAAGCAGCAGCCGGATCGGTTGCTCTGCTTTAATCCCTGCCGTTTGAGCCAGCAGCCCTTGCTGCCCCCAGCACTGCACCAAGTGTTCCTGGGCTTAAGCAGAGCAGGGGAAGACTTAAGACCAACTTCTCATCACACTTGTGTCTGCTAATCTCTGCATGTACCTTTGCTTGTTAGTACTGGATTTGTTAAAACTTTGCTTTCTTTTCCTGGATCTTGAAGTATCGATTCCAGGTTCTTTGACTCATTCTTGAATCACTGCAGCTTCTCACGCCTTATTCTGCTTCCTGAGAGCTTGGACAGGTATTTGGCATTCTCATCCAGCTCTTCTGTTCACTGGATTTGTACCTGCTTAATACAACCAGTCCAACTATAGGTAATTTCTCATTTTGCCAAGCCATAGATTTGGAGTTGGATATGATCTACACCAATCAAAGACCTTTCTTGGTGTAATACAGGAGTACTTCTGCATCTCCTTCTGTAGTCTTTGGTTTCTGGTTGAGGTCCTTGTTTCTGGCCTGACTGTTGTGTGCTCTGTCCTAGAAACTTGTTTCATGCAGCTAATAGCTTAAGGCTATGGAGAAAGGAGGTGGGAAATTGCACTCCTGGCTGGCTCCGCTGAGCTGAAATAAGAGCAATTGTCAGCTATGGCAGCAAGAAAAGATGCTTTTGCTGGAGTACCTCATTCTGCTGGCTGGGCTGGCGTGAGCTCTTCTGGTAGAAGACCCTGTTTGATGCACCCTCACCCCTGGAAATGAGGGAGGAGTAAAAGGCAGCAGAAAATTGCTAAATCTTCCCAAGTATAATTCTCCCTTATTTCATACTTCACATCAGTAAAGTCTCTGAGTTGAAAATATAGATGACTGCTCACACCCCTGGTGAGGTTACAAAAGCCTGGTCCTGCAGACACTAGTGGTGTGGTCCTGCTAGGTTTGCATCTGGAGGCTCCTGAGAGTTCAGTGTTGTTCCAAGACAGCAACGCATATCCTCATCCACCAGCATCATTTCTCAGCATCACTGGGGATGGGATGGAATTCAGAACTCATCCTTTTGGTTTCTGCACACGCTTTCAGTGTCATATAAGGGATACACTTGATAGTTCCTCTAGTGGGAGACTCCACTGATTCCTTGCTGAAGGAAGAGTGCTGACACATCCACAGTATGTTCTTTTGTTGCTTCTGGGTTTAATTGTGTTCTGTCTGTCTGTACAAGGTGTTGGATATTGTCCTGATGTAAATGCTAACAATATGTTGTTTTTCAGCTTGGTTTTGGGTCGTTTCTTGGAATAATTGGATCAAACTTGATAGAAAACAAAAGGCAAATGGTAAGTACATTATAACTTTTTTTTTTTTTTTTTAAATGACAGTAATGCACATTTTGCATGCAAAACCTATTACTGTTTTTCTAATTCTTCCAGGGTAGTGTGGGATACCACTTGAGAACTAGAGAGGATTTCTGGCAGCCCAGGAGAACAAGGCTGTTAGCCCTGGTATTTTTAAATTTAAAACAAAACAAAAACCTCAAGTAAGCACAAAGTGACTATACACAGTCTCATTGAACCCAGTGGGATTTTATAAAGGGCTTGAAATTGAGTGTTTGGTGTTTTAGGGACACTCAGTGCTTCACAGACTCATGCCCAGTGCTTTTTCTCTTGAGCTGTCACAGTATGTAACAGCTGGTAAATAACAATAATCTGGTAAATAACATAAACATAGTACATTTGTTTTAAATCTTTTAAAATCTTGGAGGCCTGGGGTGTTACAAAAATTGCTTTTGGCCACTTCCTATTTTAAGCAAAGGGTAGAGAAGATGATCAAGCAGTTGGTGTAACAGCCAGCCCAGAATCTGGAGGTAAAAAGCCTTATTGAGCCCAGCAGAAAGTGCTTCCTGAGGACAGGAGTGCTCAGAGCAATCTGCTCTAGGTATGTCTAGAGAGTAACTCACTTGAGATATCAACATGATGAAAAGCATGAAGACTGGTGTAATTGAAGAGCAACCAACTTCTTCAGTGTTGCTGATTAACATGCGTGTTGCTGATTAACATACATGTTGCTAGTTCTTGTTTCCAAACACCTCTTCAAGTAGTAAGAAAATCCAAGAAACTAGGCATGCTGTGAACCAGCAGCTGGGGACCTGAGAAGCACAGAAGACACTGGCTAGACCAGATGAGTGGTCCAAGCTGCAGAGCGAGTTGGGAGAAATTCCTGCTTGTCCTAATCCAGGGTCTGGGCTGCCTTGCCCTTTGATTTCCACAAAGCATGCTCCCTGCAGAGCAGGAGGGAGAGTCTGGGGCAGACCCTGTTGGAGAGGAAAGCTGCCTTTCCCAGTCAGGGTGCAGGAGAGATGCGTTTCCCAGTGGACATTTTTTGTTGTTTTCACTCTGGCTCTGCAAGAGCAACACGTCCTGTTCTTTCTGTCCTAGCAGGGTTTCCAAGCCTCTTGCTCATCATGTATTAGCAGCATGTCAAGGTCTGATTGACCAATGAGCATGTTATGCCAGTCCTGTGTTCTCCATAGGAGTGCTCATGAGTGACAGTGTGGCTTTGACTTGGCCTGTTTGTTTATTCTGAAGAGCCTTGGGTAGCCCTTATTTATTCTTTTCATCTCTCTGTCATTTTGTGTCCTAAAAAACACGTGACCCAGCTTTGCAGGGATTGCATCACTGCTGCCTCAGTTGGCAGCTAGTGTGTCTTCTCTGACTGCAAAGAGGATATGCAGGAGCTGTCACTTATGGTCCCTGTGCTTTAGTCACATCTGCTTCATGCCCAGGAGCACTTCACAGTGGCAGCTTTGTCCATTACGTTTCCATCATACCACTGGCAGTGCAGGATTCTTTTTTTTTTTAAATCTATGAACTTCCCCAGTATCCTCATTTGCTAAAAGGCAGTCTTGGTGTGGCTTGTTATGCAGTTGCTCCTCAGTGATGGCAGGAAGAGCTAAAAACAACTTCTGCTGCTGTGTTTTTGTGCATGTTTCTTCCCATAGGCTGGCTGGGAGTGGAGCAACCCCTGTGGCTGACGGGGAGGGCTAATATGAAGCAGCACTCCTCACTTCTCTCCAGCCTGCCCACAGGAATAGACCTCTCTTGTTTTTCCCACCTGAGCAGGAGTTAGATGAGCGAAGAGCAATCACTCATATCACACAGCTCTTGAGAGGGACTTCTGCTTGCTACAGCAACAGTATTGTCAATGCCGAAGCAAAAATCTTGTTGACAAATGATAAGAGTATTTGAAAACAGTGAATTTTTCTAAAATTAATTTGTGTGTTTGTATTTGCTGTTTGAGTTTCTTTAACAAAAATGCTATGTTTGATTTTCAGGCTTACCTTTTTTCAGCTGGGAGAGAAAACTGTGTATAGATAAAGTGAGCAAAACCATTTCTAACACTAGATCCTTATATTCTAGGAGGGCTGTTGCAATGGTATCATCATTAATCTTGTATTATTTTAAATAACCACAATAGCAGCTCCTATCAATACCCTAATTGTATGTCTAGTGTTTGGCTCACTTCCCATCTCCAAGTGTTATGCTAGTTATGAAGAATATCCTCTTTCCTTTGTATGAAAGAAAGGGTATTTACAAAGAAAAAGTTAATTTTTCTACCAAATGACCTAAGCCTTAACACCCATTTCTTCCCCCAAGACTGTAAGAAGCTGTGCTTTCTCCCCTTGTGTGGTTGGTGGGAGTGAAACGGTGTTACTGGTGTCATGGATAGTGCAAGCTGTGATCCAGATGTGGTGATGCTGTGGGTCTGAGTGGGGATGAAATGCTGGTGTTTTCACCTGGCAGGGTCCCAGCATGGGACCTGATCCTGGAAAACTTGTCACCTGCTGCCATCTGCAAGCAACTTGTGGCACAGCATCTAATATAGTAGCAGCTATATATACAGTAGCAGCTCATTATTAATGACCATGACTTGTTTGTATGGTCATTAGGTTAATTTCAAAGTCTGCCCTGACTGCTGCTGCAGTTTTTATTTGCAGTAGGACAGTGTATGTCTTGAATACTTGCCTCATCTAGAAAATTTTATTTTTCTCTTATTTTGAAGCCAACTGAAGTAAGCAATTGTATAGGGACCATTCCCACTGTCCCATATGAACCTCCCTGCACCTCCATTTATTGCTCAAGCTGACCTGTGCTACACGTGGATTTTGCTGGAGGAAGGTCTGTTTTCACAGAGAGAAATATAGGTAAAAACAGTGTGATTAACCTAAAAATACATGTAAGTTCCTTCTGACTTGTGTTTGTCAAGCAGTTTGGCTTGTCTTTCTGAGAACTGGGTCCTCATGCTGTGGCAGGAACCAAGGTTTTAGAGCAAACTTAGCACTTGGATGTTTGAAACAAACATCCCCAGGTCAGGAGGCCCAAGATACCTGTCAGTGCTGGCCAAGCTAACTGATACTTTTGTATTTGTTATTAGTGATTTTTTTTTCTAGTGCTCAAAGCTCATAATAACCAGAGTCACCTTTGTGCTTGTGGAGAAGCAGTTTTTAACAGCTGCCAGTGACCGACACCTGAAGGCTGTGACTGCTGGAGTGGAACACCACCAGGGAAAAACCCACTAGAGCTTTCAGTTCTTTAAACAGAAATGCCACTGTTCTTTGTGAACCTCTGAGTGCTGGGCCTGCCCTCTCCCCACAGCCCTGTCGATATCCCCAGTGTGCCTGAGCACGGGGCATTGGGATCACCACTGGGAGCTGTGTGTGTGATGAGCTGGTCTGGAGCTCACTGGCAGTGGCTGAGCTGCTGCTGGAAGCAAGGAGGGGTCATGTGGGCACTCTTGCCTTGTTCCCCCAGCCAAGCACTGGCAGAGGAGGTGTTTAAAGTGGCGTAGGGGAACAGAGACTTTGTTTCTCATACCTGAGTTTGGGTTTGAGTATTTCTGGTTTAATTCCTGAATGCTTTGCCCTAATTTTAAGAGTGGGCAAGATGGGGCCAGAGTAGGAGGATCAGACCTGTCAGACTGACCTCTTTGAGCTGAAGGTGGAGATCTCTGTCCTTGCAACTCCCCCAAGCTAAGGGAAGGCCCCATGGGCTGTGCTGGTCACAGCCTGGCACTGAGGAGCCCAGCCAGGCTGCTGTGAGGGTGTATAACTGATGGTGTAGGCTGGTCACCTGTCTTCTGCTGTCATGACTTTGTGCTTATGCCTACATGAAAGTGATGTTTCCTAAAGGTGCAGTCCCACCAGAGAGGATGGCATATAGCCATCTCCTGCTACAGCCTAGGAAATGTTCACAGGAGCAGCTCCCCACAGCTCTCCAGGATGGGGAGAGAAGAAATTTCCTCCTTTCTCTCCAGGGAAGAGTTACAGACAGCAGCAGCCAAAAGCAGATGTATATCCTTAGTGATTTGGAGTCATGGGAGAACTTGTATTACAATATCAAGTTCCCAGAGAACCAGTCTGGCACAACACTACTACTCATGCCACCTCACAGGAGCAGACACTCCTTTGAGACACACGTCCCGTTGCCTTCAATGAGACCAGTTTGTGCAGCCTGAGCAAACATTTGGGTCATTGATTGCTTGAGAGCTTATTGACTGTGGTTTACATATCCTTGTGGAGAGGGCACCAAATGGTTGGTGGTGGAGAGGCAGATGATACTTTGCTTTGTTTTCCTTTCTCAGCTGGTTGCATCGATCGTCTTCATCAGCTTCGGTGTCATTGCTGCCTTCTGCTGTGCCATAGTAGATGGTGTCTTTGCTGCCAGACACATAGTAAGTGCCTCCGAGAAAACAGATCCCACATTGCTTTTACTTTAGGAAAACAAGTGATGGTGTCCATCATCCAAGTCAAGGTCAAGTGAAACCCTGTAAATATGTGTCAATGCTGGTTTAAATCATAAACTTTGGAGGAATGTATCCATTTTTCAAAAATGTCTTGAAACTAGCAGCAAGCATTAAGGTCTTAAAACTTTGCTTTAGATTTTTTTTGGTAAGCTTTATGTGTTTAGTGCATCTCAAAACTGTAAGATGTGAATGTGATGTAATGTGAATCCCAGATGTTGTCAGGGGACAGTATACAAGCAGTAACTATTGTATTTTAAACGTTAGCAGAGGTAGTTCTTAGTGCTGATTGAATTGCTGGATGTTGTAATAGAAGGAAGCTATTTGATAAGAAGCTCATTAAAGTGTTACAGTATAAACAGGAAGCTCTTGCAGTAAGTTCTCAGTTTCCATTCAATGACTGAAAAAAATACAAGTTGCTCCAATGACCAATTAGTAGTACAGTGGGATGTGCAAAAGCTTCAGTTACAGAAATGAGAAAAAACCCACAATCTCATTTCAACGTTTTAATTGAAATTTATGGCTGCAAACAGACTTTTGTCCTGCAGCTCTGCAGTTTGATGGCTTTTTTTGGAAATTTTTGCAAAATGGGGTTAAGAAGACAGATTTGATGTTTATTTGTGATCAGAATGGAAAGAAATTTCAGCA